TCCCCACACCAGAAATCAGTGGACGACCTGGGGTACCAGGGTTGGGTTTTTGGTGGAACGTTTCTTGTGGTCAAGCTCCTCCTGTACCGATACAGTCGAAACCGATGCAGTCGGCCATGACTAGTAGGTCGGCCCTGCCAAATCAAGGGTACCCCCGTGTCCTGTGCCTCGCGGCCCATTGCCCCCCCTACATTCCTATTGGCAGCGTGGCCTTCGGAAGGGTCTCGTGTCCCTTCGCGCGTCCTGTCCAATCAAGCTCGACTGTAGTACCCAGACATGCGACGTCCTGATGTTTTCAGCACGGGTTCCCTGGAAGTCCCGAGCCATTCCCCGGGACCGCTTTTGCATCACGAGTCGTTTTGGTGACGCTCCCGAGGCCCGGCGAGGGCCCCCCGAGGCTGAAAATGGCCAGAAATCTCCCGTCCTGATTTTGTTAAAACGACGCGAGCATGTCTGGGAACACGACCACCCGCCCGAGGGCCCACGTCGCCAAAGCCGGGGACTCCCGCGTTTGAAACGCGGCGCACCCCGGGAGAGGGGCCGGGGGGGAGCGGCGGCCCCGGTGTATCCGCGAGATCCGCCGCTGCAGAAGACAACAGCCCAGACATGATCGCGTGGACGGGAGGTTTTTTGCCATTTTCGGCCTCGCGGGGCCCTTGCCGGGCCTCGGGAGCGTCATAAAACGCCTCAGGACGCAAAACAGGTCCCAGGCAACGGGTCGGGACTTCCAGGGACGCCGTCCTGAAAAAATCTAGGCGTCGCATGTCTGGGAGCGCACATGTATCACCAAAATCATTGCCGGAGCCCCAGTCGACCCCACTTCTCGGGGCCCTTTTTCGCCGGGCGAAGACGCCCGCTGCGGAACAGTTGCAAGGCCAGCGTCGCTATAGGGGATCCGTCTATACCCCCGTCGCCGCCACGGCCGGGTCCTCCTGGAAGGTCTGACCCCCAAGAGAGTCGGGCCGGGCGAAAGGGGGGGATAGCAAAGGGGGGTTTTGAGAATCAGCTCACGGAGCTGATTTTCCCAGCGCCTCTCGGCACCAGAGGCGGCTATGTATCGAGGAATGGGCCCCTCGGTGGGGCCGAAACCAGCTGCATGCAGCAGATTTCGTAACCCCCCCTTTCCCAATCCCCCCCTTCTCGTCCGGCCCGAGAGAGGTCGGGGAAGCGGCGACACCGGCAAAGATTACGGCCGGAGCCCCGGACCCCATCCTGGACCCCATGTTCGTGCGTCACTTTTCGGGCCGAATCGGCTCGAGAGGGCCAGGGGCCTGAAGTTGAACGAGAACGCTCGTTGTGGAAAAGTTGCAACGCCAGGAGCTCGAGGATTTTGCTGTCCCGGGCATGCGACGTTCTGTTTTCAACACGCGGTCCCCGGGAGCCCCGACCCTTGCCAGGGCTATCTTTTCGCCCCGAGACGGTTTCTGTGGACGCTCCCGAGGCCCAGGGGCCGAAGAAGGCCAACCTCTCGTCCCTGAGATCCGACGTCGCGAGAATCAAGCAGTGGCGAAGCGCCCTGCTTCGCTTATAGCCCTACCCAAGCAATGTTCTAAGAACTTTTTGTGGTCTCCACGACATGTTCTTAGAATATTTCTGGTTGATATTGCCTTGTTTTAGCACATCGGGTTTATGTTCTTTCTAAGAGCATTGTTTTTGCTCTTAGAACGCACTGCTGGGTTCTAAGAACATTTTTCGTGGTAAGACTGTATCGGAATGCTGGGACGGTCGGTCTGCCCCCAAAAAACGGCCGGCCTCTCGTCCCTGGGATCCGACGTCGCGAACAGCGGAAGCATCGTGAAAAAAACACGACAGGAGCCCCGGACCCCACCTGTTCCGCATCACTGTGCGAGCCGGATCGACCGACCTGCAGAGGGTGCCGGGGCCCGACAAAGCAGCGAAGACGTCAGAATTATGAATCGGGGAAGCGTAAGACCCGGGTTTGCCGGGACTCGGGTTCGCCATCGTTTTTTGACGACCGCGCCTCGGATTTTGACGAGGAGGAGTTTCGTGGGATGTCTGCAGCGGGAGGCCTCGTCAAAATGCAGGCTCGGCCTCGTCATTTTTGTTGACGACCTCGTCGGGGATTTCCGAGTCCCCCGTACCCGGGTCTTACGTCTCCCCGAAGAGGGTGCCGGGGCCCGACAAAGCAGCGAAGACGTCAGAATTATGAAACAGGGGCGACGCCAGGATCTCCGGGCAACCCTCCGTCCTGATTTTTCAGCGACGCGGACATGTCCCCAGACATGTGTTTTGATCCGCGGGTCGAGAGCGAGCCCCTTCCGGTCGAAGCTGAGCGGGCCGCGCACAGCTTTTTATTGACAGGGGGGGGAAGGCAGAAAGAGGGGCCCCACGTCAAGGCCAAGAGAGGGCAGAGCCCCGGAATCAGGCGGTGCAGAAGGCGATGTGCGCCATGTCCCCAAACATGCGACATCCTGAGTTTTTCAATGCGGGGTCCCTGGAAGTCCCGACCCTTTCCCCGGGACCGGTTTCTCGTCCTGCGTCGTCTTGTTTGTTGACGCTCCCGAGGCCCGGCGAGGGCCCCCCAGGGGCCAAACATGGGCAAACAACACCCCGTCGACGGATCCCGATGTTTTCAAGCGACGCGATCATGTCTGGGTCTGGCCCCCCCCCCCCCCCGCAGGAGGCGCGGGCGCGGTGCCCCGGGCGCGGCCGGCCACGGCGCGGCGAGGCCCCGCGCGCTGCCGGCGGTGCTGGCGCTGGCCGCCGCGCTGGCGGCGGCCGCCGGCCTGGGCGCCAGCGCGCCGCGCTGGCTCGGCCGGGCCGCGGCCTTTTCTCGGAGGCGGCGACGTGGGCCCAGGCAGGATCGCGTCGTATCCTTTTCGCAGGCTTTTCCAGACAGGGTCGCCCCCGCCTCCCTCCGCCCTCCTCCTGTTCCTCCTCCCTCCTCCTCCTCCTCCTCCTCCTCCTCCTCCTCCTGTTCCTCCTCCTCCTCCTCCTCAGGAACAAAAATCAGGACGGGAGGTTTTTGGCCATTTTCGGCCGCGGGGGGCCCTCCCCAGGCCTCGGGAGCGTCAAAAAAGGACTTAGGATGAGAAACCAGTCCCTGGGAAGTGAGAAGGAGAAGGCCTCTCAAGCCATCGCGCTTGAGGACTACATCCCTCAAAGAATTTCGAGCACCCAGAGAAGCATCGAGGCAGTGTAGGCCCGACACATTGGCGAAGTGGCGACAGAGCATCGCCTCTCGGGGCGAATGTAGCCCAGGGTGGAGCAAGAGAGTCGAGCTTGATGAGCAGGTGTGTCCTGTGCGTCGCGATCCGTGCCTCCTACACTCCTCTTGGCAGCGTGGCCCTCGGAAGGGTCTCGTGTCCTCTCCCGCATCCTCTCCAGTCGACCTCGGCTGCACCTCTTGGCCTCAAGTCGGGCGTGTCCCTCCAGAGGAGGCATACTCAAACATAGTAAAACATTGTCCGGGGGCGATTTCCCGATTATTATTGACTATTTGGGGGATTTCTTCTTGTTGTTTCTTTATATATATATATATATATACCACCAACAAAAATCGTCCCAAATCCGCCTGTGGGGGGACATGCCCGACCTACTCTTGGCGTATGATGTTCCAACCCACTTTAGCCTGGATCACGAGAGAGAATTTCGAGCACCAGAAAAGAGAACCGAAGCTCGAGGGTTTTCGCGTGCCGGGCCCCCGGAGGGAGACACTCGTCCGACACCGTTTCGACACTGTTCCGATACTTTTTCGACACTTTCCTGGGTGCTCGAAATTATGTCTGGGATGTGGTCCTGAAGCACGATGGGAGCAGCATAACTCAGGAGGGGAAGAAAAACACAGACACAATTAATCGTCGATTCCCCAGAAAATATGGGAAAATATGGGAAGTGGGGGGGAAGACAGAAACCCAGAAAGTATGGGAAAATATGGGGAATCTGTTTTATTTGTGTGTATTTATTTGTGTGTCCTGGGGCCCCTTCAATACCCTTGGCCAGCGGCCGCGAGAGGGCCAGGGCGGCGGGGCGCGCAGCGGCGGGGCGCGCGCGCGCGGGGGGCGCCGCCGGGCACTGGCGGGCGGGGCGGAGGGCGCGAGGGGGCGCGAGGCGGCCAAGAGGGGGGCGGGGGGGGGCGAGGGAGCCACGCGGAGGCCGCGGAAGGGGGCGCCGAGGATCCGAGCGGGGGGCCGAGCACGGAACTTCTCCTCCTCCTCCCCCTCCTCCTCCTCCTCCTCCTCCTCCTCCTCCTCCTCCTCCTCCTCCTCCTCCTCCTCCTCCTCCTCCTCCTCCTCCCCTCCTCCTCCCTCCTGGCTGCGAGCGACGCGGGGGAAGGGAGAGGGAGAAGGCCTTCTCGGAAGGCGGCGGGGCGTCTCGGGAGCCCTCGCGCCTCCTGAGAAGAAGCCTGCGTCGTCGGGGAAGGCTCAGAAGACGGCTCGGAAGGCCCGGGGGACCCCCGAGCCTTCTGAGAAGGCCCGCCCCTTCTCACCTCCCCCCCTCGCCGCCGCCCGTCAAGTCCACGAGCGAACACGCAAGCATAGTGCATTCTGCGGAACACATCCTGTGCATTGTTTCTCGCGGGCTCGACGGACACAAATCAACCTTGGGGCAATTAGAGAGCACGGTCTGCAGTCGATCTGCCCCAGACTCGAAGGGTCCACGTCTTCGGCGAGGCTCCCCCACGGGCTGCGGAGAAGAAGGGGACGGCGCGGTTTGCGGGCGGGCGGGGGGAGGGGGGCGGGCAGCAGCAGCGGGCGGGCGGAGGGGGGTGCGGAGGGGGGGCTGGCGGGAGGGGGAGGAGGCGGAGGAGGAGGAGGAGGAGGGGGGAGAGGAGAAGGAGGAGGAGGAGGAGGAGGAGGAGGAGGAGGAGGGAGGAGGAGTACGGACGACGACGACGACGACCGACCGACGAGTGCGCGCCACGGCCGCGGCGCTGCCGCCCCTCTCGTCGCCTCCGGTGCTCGCGCCCCGCCGCCCCGCGGGGCGGCCCCGCGCGGACTTCGCGGCCGAGCGGCGGCGCGGAGGCGGCGCGCCCGGAGGCGCCCGAGGCGCAGGGGCGCAGGCAGGCGGCCTCGCTCGCCCTGGCGGCGGCGGCGGGCGCGGGGGCGGCGGGCCCCGCGGCGGCCGAGGAGGAGCGGCGAGGGTCCGAAGTGAGGCGAGCAGGGGCGCAGCGTGTCCTGACCTTCCCAGGCAGGATCGCGTCGTATCCTTGCGCAGGCTTTCCCAGGCATGATCGCCCCCGCCTCGCGCCTCCCTCCTCCCTCCTCCTCCTCCTCCTCCTCCTCCTCCTCCTCCTCCTCCTCCTCCTCCTCGTCCTCCTGGGGCCAGGTGCCCAGACATGATCGCGTCGTGAAAAAATCAGGGCGGGAGGTTTTTGGCAATTTCGGCCTCGGGGGGGCCTCGCTGGGCCTCGGGAGATTTAAAAAACGACTCAGGACGAAAAGGCCCCGGGGAAAGGACCGGGACTTCAGGGACCCTGAGATCCTAGTGTTGCAATTTGTTTACAGTACGGGCGTTTTCGCTCCGTTTCGGGCCCCAGGGCCCTCACAGATCGATCCGGCTCGCGCAGAAAGATGGGGTCTAGGATTCGGGTCGTGATCTTTCACGATGTCTCAATTGTTTTTCGAGACGTCGAATCTCCGTGGCAGTCGAGCAGTGGCGAAGCGTCCTGGCGTTCCTGTAGGCCCACCAAAACTTTTTATAGTAACCTGTTGTGGTCTGCACGAAATGTTCTCAGAACGTTTCTGGCAGAGGCTGTCCTGTTTTAGCACATCGGGATTGTGTTCTGAGAACAGTGTTTTAGTTCTGAGAGCGTTCTTGGGCTCTGAGAACATGTCGTGGCAGGCCTGTAGGATTGCCGGGACGGTCGGTCCCTGCTGAACCTAGGCCTCCCAGATGGGGTCCTGGATTCTGACGGTCCAGTGTTCGTGGGATGTCTGCAGCGGGAGCTCGCATCAAGGGTCTTGTCCTTTTCATGATAGCCCCGTCAGGCCAAGCCGAGTCCCCCGAACCCGAGTCTCACGTCTACCCCAAATCGAGCACTGACCGTCGACAGGGGTCTGCGAGCCCCACCCCGCCCAGCATCATGCGGCGTTTTTTGTTGTCCGTGTCCTTTTTGCCTGCGTTTTTCCGAACCCAGATGCACGGCGCTGGTGGCTTCGGCGCTTCGAGGAAGGGACACCTGCATGCGTATACGCCACGCTGGTCCCGGGCAGGCTGTGCTGCCCAGCGAAAGGGGACGAGCAGGGGAGAAGCAGGCAGACGACGACGAACGCCCAGGCGGGAGGCCAGGGGCCCATCGCCGATACATCGGCGAAACATCGCCCATCCCAGGTCGATGCTTCACCCCCTGAGCCAGGCCCCCTCCCCCCTCCCGATCGTTGCGCCTCACATCGGCGGCCCTCCCCGGCGTTAATCATGCGTCCTTCCTGGGCCTCCCCGCGGGGTTCTCCTTACCGCAGCCAGGCCCGCACCACCGAATAGAGCGTGTCAGGATGGAGCCCTTGAGGGGTCCGGGGGCCGACTTTGAGCGCACGTGTGCCCGGCGGGAGGGCCACCGGTGTCTCACCTGGCCCTCCTCTGAGAGGATAGCTTCACCAGCAAGCTCATCAAGGAAGCGCGGAGAAAGGCGAAGGAGGACGCGGAGTCCGGGTCGATATTCAACGTGAACACGTACAAGATCCCGACCCAGAATTACAACAATTCCGACTTGCAGAGCTACCTCCCGACGGTGATCCTTGCGCGCCGCGCCTTCGACACGGCCGTCTCCCAGCTGAAGAGCCCCCGCATCAATTCCTCCGACCCCTACACGTACGAGCTGCTGCGGCAGCAGAACCGCATCCCCCCGATCCGCCTGCTGCGGAAGGACATATTCAGGGCGAAGAGCTGGCTTAGGGACCGTACCGGCAACTTCGAGGCTTATGATGTTCCAACCTACTTTAGCCTTGACCACCAGAAAGAATTTCGAGCACCAAGAAAGCACCGACACTGGAGGGTTTTCACGTGTCGGGCCTTGGGAGGTGTTTTTTGTTCGACACTGTTTCGACACTTCTCTGGGCGCTGGAAATTATTTAATCGCTTCGCTCATTCCGCTGGCCCGTATTGTGCCATCGCAGGCGTTTGCTTGCGCGTTCGTGGCCTCTTGGAGCTTCGGTGGGGCCGTTTGGGGCCTCTTGGCGCCTCTTTTTAGGCCTCTTGGAGAACTCGGGAGGCCTCCAGGGGGCCTCCTGAGCTCTCGTGACGGTCTCTTGGGGGGCTTTCGGCGGGCTCTTGGCGGTATTTGTTGGTCCTTTTGGGGCCTGGGGCCTGACGTTGTTGGTCCTCTTGGGGCCTCACGGGAGCTTATTTGGGCGTCTTGGGTGTGTCTTGGAGAGTCTCTTGGGGCCTCTTTCGGGGTCCTGGGCGCCTTCTGGGGCGGAGGGCTCGATTTTTCAGTTCTCGGTTCCCTTCTTGAGCCCCTCTTGGGCCCGTCTTGGGGCCTCTTGCTGCGCGCGGCGGGGGTACTTATAAGTACTTATGCAGTTACGCCAATTATAAGTAGCTCCTAAGTCGCTCGTAAGTAGCTGATAAGTAGTGTAAGTAGCTCGTAAGTAGCTCATAAGTAGTGTAAGTAGCTCATATGTAGCTAAGTTACTTAGGAGCTACTTATAAGTAGGGCAGCCTACTTATAAGTAGCGTAAGTACTTATAAGTACTTTGGCCTACTTATAAGTACTTACGGCCTACTTATATAAGTAGCGTAAGTTACTTACGAGCTACTTATGTAAGTGGCGTAAGTGCCACATAAGTGGCGCGTAAGTGCCACATAAGTGGCGCGTAAGTGCCACATAACTGCAGTTACGCAAACTAACGCCATGTATGGGCATGCATTTTCAATCAATATATATAACAGCGCGCGCGCTGAACAGGACGCCCAAAACACTTGTGACGCCAATGTCGTTAACCCTAAACCCTAAGAGAACCTTGGTGCCCGATCTGGAATATTGCGCGGGCGCCGTGGGAGGCATGCTGCGAAATCAATAGTTGTTTCATGCATTTGTGCTGCCGCTGGCCCAGACAAATTGTGTCAGCCACCCTTCAGTTGCGTTCAGCGCAGCCCCGCCTTGCGTTTCTCGCATTGGGCTTGGGCCACGCCATGGCGGGTGAGACCATGCAGGCTCGCGTGGAGCGCGTCCAGGAGCAGATCCTCGACATCATCAAGGAGTATACGTGCAGCCATTGCCCCCCGATTCTCCAGTTGCGCGACCAGGCGGTGCGATTGTTGCGTAAGGAGGGTCTGCTGAGGCGCCAGAAAACGAATGGGCGCTACGTGGCCGTGCACCCGCGGAACAGGTACGGCGATGGCATAATTCCATCCCACGTGCGCACGCTGGTGCGCAGTTTTTGCAGCGACGGGTTCAGCATGGATGAGGTGGGCGTGCCCTTTGCCATCGAGATGCCACCCCCATCTCACGAGCGCCACGCCGAGGCACTCGAGTTCAACGGAGACCTTGTCAAGGAATCCCACGGCTTCTTGCCGCCATACGACGAGGGCGAGATCAAAATCCTTAGCGTGAGCAAGTCGCACACGACCCAGGCGACCCGCTGCATTCAGTTTGGCAGCCCTACAGATTCAGATAACGTCGAGTTCGGTACCGACGGGAAGCTTGACATCCACAAGATCGGGTTGAAGCGCCCCACGTTGGCAGATGCTGCGAAGGAGGGGTTTGAATGGGACGTGCTTGTCTGGCAGGCTGAAGACGCATTCGGCGCCATTATAGACTTGCTCCAGGACCCGCTTAAGTTTGTGAAATCGATGGCCCACCCTTTAACTTTTCGATTGCCCCCGCCCCCGCCCCCCCCGCATTTATGTTGGCTTTAGCCGCGTTCAATCAGGAGTCTGGAAATGCTGCGCAGAAGGTTTCCATGAATGAGACTAGGTGGGAGACCTTGTTCAAGATGCACGGGGGCGTGCAGAAGATCGTCACCAACTTCGAAGCCAATAAAAAGGAGGGCGACATCTTGGACCCCGACGTCGCGTGGGGTAGGGCAATAACAAAAGCGCAATCCAGAAATCCAGATTTCGTTTCAGAGATCCAGAGTTTTGCGACGTTTGCGAGGAAGCTCGCTGGTGGACCAGACGCACCGAATTTGAAGGAGCTTCGGGCTTTCAACCGTTCGTGCCAGAAGCCGCGCATTGTGCAGGGCCCCGTCTTGGCGGCGGTGGCTGATGCAGTGATCGGCTCGGATGGTGTGGGCTGCATTCCCTTCCGCATTGATTGCGTAAAGGCAATGATGAGCGCCGACAGCAAGTATGCATCGGGCGACTTTCAGAACCTCTTTGCATCGGGTGACATCGGGCTTAAGCTCACGAGTAACAAGGAAGTGCAGCGCATGATCTCGCAGGCAGACATCATGAAATCGATGGCTATAGACATCGCAAAAACTGTCAACCTGTCAGAAGACAACGCGGCCGTGAAGACGTTGATCAACAGGTTCGGCATGAGGCTCGTGCACCATTGCATGAAGAAGCCCGACCCCCGGAGCCAAAAGTTCGAGTCGCTTCACCACATCGGCTACGAGTACGTGCAAGACCTGGCTACCATTGCAGGCACGCAGATCACATCCCCGTGGGCGAAGAAAGGAGCCCCGCCCAAAGCTCCCGCGCAGCAAGCTGCGGCTTCTGCACAAGTGCAGAGCGTAGGCGGAATCGCCGACAGGAAGCACAAATTGGCAAGTATGGGCGTGAGCGCCAATTGCCACATCGAGGTCATCAAGATGAAAACTGTATACAAGGTGCAGGAAGTCAAGGAGGATGAGACCAAGCTGCAGAGCATCGGCGATGGGAGCGACTACACAGTCGATTCGGCATACCTCCTGAAATCGCTACTCACCCCGCGTGCACAAGAGTTCAAGGTGATCACAAAACGCGAGCCGAAGAAGGACGCCGCGCTCTCCCCCTTCCACGCTTGCAAGCCGTAGGAGGGCGGCGTGTATACTATAGGGGGAGGGGGTGGGGGAGGGGGCAACGATTTTGGCAATGGAGCTTGGTTGTCTTACACACCCGCAGCCCACGTGCTCTTTTCCTGTTGTTCTCCATCCCGCACCTTTACCCCAACCCCACCGCCCATACCAGCCCCGCCCAAACCCACCACCCCCGCAACCCATCCCACCATCCCAACAGGAATACATCAACGATTGGAGTGCCAGGTGCGACCCGCGCTCGAACTCGGACTGGCAGCGCATGGTGTTGGTTGGTCACGTGACGTCGGCGCTTGATGCATTGGGTAACCTACAGGGGGCAGCGGGCGAGATGGTCGACATCGAGACGGAGCCCACGGAGCACCGCGGCGTGTACGCCAAGGTTGACATCGATGTCTCCAGCGCGATCTTCCCGCCCTTCTCGACCAAAGTAGCCTTCTCGGATACAGCTCCAAACGGTGCCATCGACGTCGGCGCGGAGATCACTAATGCGGACGGCGTCGCGCAGAAGCTTTACATCTTCATGAAGCTGCAGAAGCATGATCCAGGCGGCATCGCGGACAACACGCGCGGCAGCTACAAGATGGCGAAGATAGAAGGGTTCATGCCGCACTACTGGCTCATTGACAAAGAGGTGACCGACCCCAAGAAGTCTAACATGGCCATCAAGCTTCACACCGTTGACGCCTCGGTCGGCGCGGAGAAGTTTACATTGAAAATACCGTTCCTGGAAAACACCAAACCCATCAAAAAGGGCGACCAGCTTCGTGCACTGAAGCCGCAGGCGGCGAAGGCGCCGCCGATGAAGAGGGTCCGCACGCAGTAGTCGTGGCTCGCGGAGCCGAGCTTATTAGACACTTGTGCCGCGATCTCAGGTCGGTGGGGCGGCACGCCGATTATGGAGACAATGGTATTATTATTGCGGATTTCCTTTAGCGCTTGCAGGACACACGGCGTCCTCTGGACACATGGCGTATTCTTCTCTTTCAGCGCTTGCAGGAGAAACAAAAACAGCTCGCATGCGCTCGCGCGGGGAGAGGGGGGTGGGGGAGGGGGCAGCGGCAGCGCTGGTCCAAGCCTCGTCGCTGCGGCTGGGCGCGGGCTCGATTGCAGTGACAAGCCGTCAGTGATCAAGCGAGGTTGCGCTCGGCCGCCGCGGGGGGTTCGCGCGGCTGTTTTCACGCGCGCCGATGTCGTTCACGATCGAGGCGAAGCCCGTGGTCCAATATCATGCCGCGGACATGAAAAATAACAAAAAAATAAAAAAAAAAGAAAAAAAAAAAAAAAAAAAAAAAAAAAACAAAAAAAAAATATAAAAGTAAAAAGAAAGAAAAAAAAAAAAAAGAAAACTAAAAAAAAAAAAAAAAACAAAAAAAAAAATAAAAAAAAAAAAAAAAAAAAAACACCAACAGAAAAAAAAAAAGCACGTCCGCACGTGGGTGCCCCAGTACACCAAGACGATCGATGGAGCTACGTACGTCGAGCTCAGGCAGACAGATAGACCTCTCGCTGTCTTACACGGCCTATCCCACGAGGGCAAGGCCAAGTACTGGAGCAAGAGCTGCATCCTGGAGGATTTGCGCAAGGCGAGGAACACGCGCGTGGACGAGGTCTTACTAGCCCACTTGCATGCGTGCAACCCGTGCGAGAAGCCACCCGCTCTCCCAGATGGCTTCAACAGGATGGCGGTGAATCCCGACGACTTGCCCTATGTTACCAGCGTGGCTTTGACTTGCAACGAGGGCGCGACCTTCAATATGAAGATGACCGTGGAGCTCATGCCATTGAGGGTGCCATGTGTTGTGCTGACCGTGGAGAATCTCACTTGGCTCCAGAAGGTGGCGACGGCGTCGGCCTTGCAGCCAACGCCTGTGAAGCCGCCCAAGCGCAAGCGCCCAGAGGATCGCTTTGAATTGCCCACGCCAGAGGCGAAGTTCGATTATCGCAGGAAGTCTAT